CTCTTTGTCTCCCTTGTCCATTGCCGAATCCATCTGCTTTTTTCTACTCCTCATGTTTTACTGTTGTCGGATCTTCTGTGTATTCTTCAGCTAATTCTCCTCAAAATGCAGTGAAGTTATATTAGCACAAACAGCCACTAAAACATTTGTTAGTGGAATACCCCTGTGTGTGTTCTGGGGTTCTATTGTAGCAGGAAAACGTAGTAGATTCACTGCCCCCTAATAATCTATATCCTCTTCATGTCGCTGTTGACACAAATGGTATTCACAAGTGATCTCTATTGCTGCCGTTCCGCTGCTTTTCTGCCCATGGTATCCCATGTCAGTTTACATTCCTTCATTTCCTGTTCTGTTGCCCTTCTCCAGGTTTCCTTAGGTCGTCAACGTCTCCTTTTCCCATCTGCTGTCCACCGGAGAGCTGTTTTTGCCAGAGTGTCACATGGCATTCTGCCAACATGCCCAAGCCATCTCCATCGTCTTACTTGTCCCCAAACAAGCAACTCATAAAAGTTATCTAATTATGAGTGTTTCCTGCAAATTTGGAGTGCATTTGCCTGATGGGCAATGAACCAACAGTCTGCAAGTGGACAAACATCCAGAACTTTCTGCAGGAGTCAACTTAACACTAAGAAGTAGAAGTTAGTGGAATCCAAATTTTAAAAGACAGTAAATAATGACTTCATTAGCTGAAAACTTGTTTTGCGCAGTCGTTTCATCAACTCTGAACTGAGGTATCACTGTATTTACTGTGTATTAAACAATGGTAGTTAGTACAAGACAGGTTCTTTGACAGGCAGTCTGCAGACAAGCTAACCCTCTTTAACATCTCTGAGAGACAACGCACATGTAAGGTAATATTGTTGACATCTCATCTCTGAAAGACAGCACACATAAAAAGAAAAGGACAGGACATCTGACAGCACAGAGACAAAAGAACAGGCTATAGAAGATGTATGTTCTAATATAAATAAAATGCACACTGTTGATTTTTTTTTTTACATTGTTAATTTTCTTACATGATACGGCATGTTTTGTATTTCTGTAAGCTACATAAAAAAATATTTTACTCGCTCTCTTTCCTGTAGTACCCGCTCACTGGCAACCGCTGTAAAAATATGCTATTCCCCATATAATATTATTTGTGATTCCTTGATTTGAAGTGATTACAGCATATGTGTTGTTTAAGCGCGTAGAAAAATGTACGTTTTCATCTTTACAGAAACTGCTAAGTGACATTTCATATCCAGTTAATGTGAGATCAAGAAATTCTTTAGCATGCACTCCTCGTTAAGGAAATTGTAAATATCAGAGAAAATGCCAAATTTTTTTTAGTCAAGTTCTCTTTCTCTATGCAGACACAACAGCTAAAACAGCTTCTCCGTCAGATGTTTTAACTTTCCAACACAATGTATTATTCAGAGTGCTCGCTCACCTACAACTACTGTATAAAATATGCTTGGTCTTAATACAACTCTTTGGGGTCTCCCATTTTATGTATTTAAATTAGGTGGTGATCATCGGACTTGTGTTAAGCACATCTTTGCTTTGTGGTTAATTCCCTTCACAGCATTCTGTCAGATGTAATGCACTTGCTTTTTGCATATTTGATGCTTCGGCAGTCAAGCATATACCAGGTTTTCCTTATCCTCTTCCACCTCAACAAATCCTATAGTATTATTTTCAAGAGGCTGGTAGATCTTTTTAAATGTCCATAGTTTACCTTAAAACATATTGTTAATCATCATAATGCTAATGAAGCTGGCATCCCCGACTGCTGACACAATAATCAGATACTTTCCAATCACCCATAGTGGCAGAGTTTTTGTTTTTCACTTGTCCCAGATTCTCAGATTAGTAGTAGTGGTAGATTTTTACCCCACCAGGATATCACACAAGCGATAAACACCCGATGATACAGGTGCCGCCATGTGGATGAGGATCACCCATGGAGAGGTCCCAGAAACCGCGTTCAGCTATTAGACCATATTTATGGCCGGGCTATATTTTGCCAGGGTGGGGCTTCAAATTAACGAAAAACTGCATTCCACAAAGGGATGACTGGTTTTTTTATTCTCAGATTCACTGAGCCTACACTTGGCACTCTGGGATGTGAAAGTTAATACTTCTTCTTTTTCTCCTTTTACTGTTCACTTACTGTAAACACCAGCAGAAATGTGTGGTTGTTCCTCCATGCCTGGACTTTGCTCTTGTTCCAGAATCTGAGTTTTGTGTGTGTGCATCTATTTCACAGATCTGGCTTTTTTTTGTGTGTGCAGACTGTTGGTTGCTTGTCTCTCAGACAAATGCACAATGACTTCAAGGGACCCAACCCTAATTAGTCCCATTTTATGACATGGTTGTTAGGGGATAGTGGGTCTATTCTTGCTTCCCCAAAATTTTACCCCAGAACCCACATGGGAAATTATTCATACGTAAGATAAGTTATAGTCCTTAATGTGTTTTTTTTTTATTTCACTCAATTTTTGTCTAACCTCATATTTATTCCTGCTATTCCTAGAAATCTCTGGATTTTCTTGCTGTCCTAATATTTCTTCTGTAAACTAAAACGGAAAGTTTTGGCTGTTCATCCACTTTTGGACTTTTGGAGTCTTGTCCCAGAACTTAAATTCTGCATGCACATCTGTTTTACAGATATATTTGTATGCAGACTGTTGGTTCTTGGCCTCTCAGGCAGCTGATCTTCAACTTCTGGGGCAAAATCTCTAATTAGTCACTTTTTACGACATGCTCGAGAGGGAGGAAGTCGCTGGGTCTCTTTATTTGACAGCTAAAATAAGGCCTGAGGACCCACATGGGAGGAGCGGCTGGTCAAAAGGTTAGAACGATGGGCTCTCAGGAAGGAGACCCGGGTTCAAATCCTTGGCACTGCTGAGGCTGAGGATATTTCTGTCGGGTTCAAAATAAAATCCTCACCTGCACAGTCGTGGCGACAGCACTAGCCATGCAGCCGTAAATCCTCAGGCTAAAAGACCCCCCTGCCCACACCGCAAAAGTTGGTATCATTAGAGCAGTAATTGTCAGAACTCACAAGGGTAGTCCTAGTGTTTGATTTCTTTTACATTTCTTTGTGTATTTCCTATTTCTAGTTCTTGATCCACATTAACTGGACAAAACAAGACACTATCCTACTTGTATGCTTATGTACATAATCATCTGCGAACTAGCTAGAAGACTTTGTGTAAAATAATTTTAACACTGAAGCTTTGAAAAGGAAGTGCTTTGTGTTAAACTGAACTGAATATAAACAAATATACACCTGTGCTGCACTCACAAATAGGTATCAGAGTATTATTCCAGCTTTGCATAGAACTGTTCTTCACTTCCTGCTGTAAATAAAGGTGCTTCACAAAGATGATGTGTTTCATAGTGTTATTTTATTGAAAACTACATGATTTATCTACACTTGACTGGGTAGGTGCCAATTATCTATCATATATTTCAGTATTTCATTTTTCATTTTACGAATTAGGTTTTTAGAACACAAAACTAATAATTATGTCAGAGACAAAATACACAAATTTGCGGAACATCAGGGGCCTCTCTTGGCAGGGGTGAAATGTCACAAGCAAGCTTGGTTTGGGCATGTAGTGAGCTGCTGGGGTTGGTTCTGCAATGTCCTGTAGAGGATACGCAATTAACCATATATACTATATGTGTTGACCAGTATTTTTAGAAAGATTTGTTTAGGCTTCAAAATGTGTCTTACTCACCGCAATTTACCGTAATTAGCCAATTAGTTAACAAGTTGATCAATTTGTTAGTTGATTGGTTGGTTAGTTGTCTAGCTGCTGTTCTGTTTGTTTCTGTCCTAATTTGCTTGCTTTAATTAAAATAATGTGAACCTCTGAGAGACTGAACACTAAGTCGCATGCTGGGAGTCACAAACTGGCCATCGTAGACAATGGTTCCATTTTTAATTCTCGCTAATGCAGACAATTATGATTTTTAACTCTTTCTGTTGTTACTTAACTCTTTGAGTCCCAAGAAACGCATCATACTACAGATTCCTACCTAGAAGTTCAGTGAACGCAAGATGCGCCAATTTTACGCCTCTCTAGATAACACCTTGGGCCTGTGATGCTTAACCCTCTGGGACTCAAAGAGTTAAGCTTACTCTATGAAAAGTAGTCAGTATTAAAAACTAATAAACACTGGGTATAAATGAGTTTATATGTTAGAATTTGAATAACACTAGAATCATAACATCAAGAAGACTACTAACTTGGTCTTCATACTGTAAAACTTGGAGCTCCATAGATTGTTGGGGTTTTCAAAGCTGATGTTCTTTTTCCTGGGTGAATTATTATTTATTTATTTGTATTTCCTTGACAATCAACACCTCAGACATCATCGGGCGAGTGTGTAACCTTCAAGGGCGAGAAAATGTTTCCATCCTGCAGGAAGCGGTGCCCCCTCTCTGCAACAGAAATAAGCTCTATATCATTTATGTTCAACATGGAATGACATTCAGAAAAAAACAAATATGCGAGCAAGAGACAGGCTGACATGACACCCTTACCGACTGCATAATTACAAGTAAGGTATATTAACAGGTGTGCCAAAATTAAATTAAGGAGTGAGGTCAATGGAGAAAAAGAAAACAGTGAGATACTCATAGCTGTGAATAAGAGTGAAGGTCCCTTTTCCACGCCTTTAACCGTATTGGGCATATTGGGCTAGACCTATATTTTTATAGACCAATCGGCACTTAGGGAGTTATGTGGTAAGCATCATGCCCGCCGCCTTTACTTCCCAGGACTGCACCTGGTACCCGAACAAGGTTGGGTCGACCTGGGAGTCAAGGTCAATTTTGAACTCTGGCTCCGTCAGGACACGAACCCACGACCTTCCGATCTGCATATGGACGTCTAACCGCCAACAGCATTGAGACTCCCGCTACCTGTGGATGCTCTAGAAAACTGAATTTAAAGATAACAATTAAAGTAACTGAATGTTATATCTAGAATTCTTGTACTTACGGGACAGCTGCAGATGTAGGTGCTGAAGGTGTCCAGGTGAAAATGCTGAGTCATCCCAACAGGTATGGGTTCCAGGTGACCAGCGAACCAGTCCAATAGCTCATTTTGTGGAGTCTGAGGAAATGGGTCAGGAATTTTGTCACAGGACACTGTTGAATAGAAGACAAATAATTCACAGTAAGCACTATGGTCAATTTACCTTGGTCCCCATGTGGGTTAGGGGGCCCAATTATAGGGAAAACAAGAATAAACCCACTGCCTACCCAAAAGCATGTCGTAAAAGCCGACTAATTGGGAGCTTTCTTTGACGTCGGAGTGCATCTGTCTGAGAGGCAAGGAACCAACAATCTGCACAAAAATGAGTCAGCTCTGTCATACGGATGCACACGCAACACACAGGTTCTGGAACAGGACTTCAGTCCAGAAGTGGACAAACAACCAGAACTTGCCGCCAAAGTTTACAGCTAGTGAACGCGAAGAAGAGGAATTTATCTTAGTTTTTTTATTTATTTTTTATTTTTATAATCAATATTCTTTTATTTTATCTTTTATGTCTGGAATAATGAGAATGTCTACGTACTGTGAATCCTTTCTGAGAGAGATGTTATTCCCTGCCATCATACCAGACTAACATCTTCTTTTTTGGTTTGGCTTTAGATTTCACCCTCTTTAATTTTCAACATCAAAGTGTCCAATCAGGTTTCAGATTTGTGTAGGGTTCTAACTTTGGGACGTGAGTGCAGGGACTGGCTAGCTAGTGCTACAGAATCATAAGTTCAACAAATGATTCATGACAATTCCCGCCCATGTGATTTGATTGTGTGTACAGATGGCTCTGTGTTAAGGGGTAGAGGAAGTGCATGGGGGTTCACAGCAAAGGTGAATGGACGTCGATTGGTGCAAAAAAGCCTGGCATATGATATCACAACGTCTAGTTTGAGAATGGAGGTGGAGGCAGTCACTGCTGCCTTCCGCTGGCTTGAGAATCAGCTGTACACACATGACGTCATTGTAACTGACTCACAGAGCATGCTGAGAAAGGTGGAGACAGGCATGCTCCATGCAGAGCGGCAAGCATTACTTCAGAGGTCCCGGGCAGTTAGCAACTTTTGGATATTTTTCTCCAGGTTATGCCGGTGTTTTGGGAAATGAACAGGCAGATAAGACTGGCCAGTTCTGCACCACTTGGTGGTGAACTGATGTATGACAAGCTGGATGTTGTGAGGTCCCTCGGGGAGCGAGTGAACAGATAGATCACACCGGTCTGAGGAGAATGGCACTGCGAGGAGTTACAAGGGGATCTGACCGACGCTCGACACTCAGGGGAAAGGCGAGACGGATATACAATCAGACAGTTACTAGTACCATCGGAATTGTAACACTTCCCTTGCTGCTGCAGATGGGGACGGATGGCTTATGGGGGTGTCCCGAGTGCTGTGATGTCGATTCCTAATTCAACATTATTTTAATTTACCTCACAGCCACAACGCACTTCAGTTTTCAGTACTCAAGACATGCCAAAGAATGTTTATGTCTAATGTGGGTAGAGGAAGTTCTCAAATAAGTTCTCAAAGTTGATTACTTTCAAGGCATCTCATTTTGTGTTTCACCTGCCCATGGAATCACATCACCTCCTATAAAACAATATCTTCACAGCTCTTGCGACAGGGAGGCAGTGAGTCTATTCCATTATCCACCTTAGTGGAGCCCATTGAACCACACAGAAACTGTAAAAATTCAAGTGACTTCTAGTACATTTTTGTCTGATAACCACGATATCACAGTTGAATTGCAATATTCTAGAGAAATAAAAGTCAGTTATGAACGAACAATTTCTCACTCACCTCCAATAGGGCAGGTAAAATGAGGGCAACAGCTTTCATCGTAGGTGACCTCCCCGTCCTCACAAACCACGTAGTAGGTACCACATCTTTGGCGCAGACAGTAGTCCTGTGACGTCCCGATCTCACAGGTACAGTTCAAACAAGGGTTGTCTTTCCCGTACGGAAACACTGCCCCTATATCGTACTGCTCGCCTTCCACGGTACAGCCCAGCCGCTCGCAGCAGCAGCCGTCCTGCGACCACTAGACAAAGAAAGTAAATATTCAGTTAGCAGTTACAGAAGCTATGACGTAAATTAAACGGCATCAAAAAGTCTATGGTTAAGCACCAGCAAGGAAATCAAAAGTGCAAATGTTGATAGTAGCAACATATGGATGTGTGTCGTGGACTATCTAACAGTCCTAAAAAAATGGCTTCTGAGCTGAAATGGGAATCCCCGTGGCGTAGCGGCTAGACGATGGCGAGCGGATCGGAAAGTTGTGGGTTCGCTCCCTGGCGGAGCCGGACATTTTTCAAAAATGACCTTTGTTTCCCAGTTCGATCCAGCCTTGAGTGGGTACCGGGTGAAGTCCTGGGAAGTAAAGACGGCCGGCGTGATGCTGACCACATCACCCATCTTGTGCCGATTGGTCTTTAAAAATATAGGTCTATTTGCCCTAAACGTCTAAAGTTGCGGAAAAGGGACCTTTCCTTTTCTTTTAAAACTGAAATGTTATGCACGGATTCTCAGAATACAACGGACAAAGAATCTAAGAAATACTGACATTTTAACAGATCTGAACTTCAAGGAAGATTGGCTAATAAACAGCATCCTGTCTCGGAAGCTGAAATATTTTACTCAAGCAAGCGCCATGACAGACTGGGAAAAAATAACAGCAGAAAGCATGGTACCAGGAAGGAGGGGCAGGGACTGACCAACACAAAGATGGGCACAAGATATAAGTTACTCCTTCAATATAAAAGTAAACGAGGCGGGAGAGCCTGCTTGAGAATTGGTTTCTTTTAGTTATACCGTGATGAGAGCGACGTTCTGCAAAGGACCTGCTACGTGATGCTAAAGCTATAGTGTGTTCATTTATTTCATGTATTCTGTTGTGCAGTACTAGGCTTACCGTCTATTTTTCCACTCCGTTCTACCCTGTGCTTGAATATCGTGGACAAAATCCAGTCCAGCATCCTTCGCTCCAGTCCAGCATCCTTCGCTCCAGTCCAGCATCCTTCGCTCCAGTCCAGCACCCTTCCCTCCAGTCCAGCACCCTTCCCTCCAGTCCAGCACCCTTCGCTCCAGTCCAGCACCCTTCGCTCCAGTCAAGCACATTTCCCTCCAGTCCAGCACCCTTCCCTCCAGTCCAGCACCCTTCCCTCCAGTCCAGCACCCTTCCCTCCAGTCCAGCACCCTTTGCTCCAGTCCAGCACCCTTTGCTCCAGTCCAGCACCCTTCGCTCCAGTCCAGCACCCTTCGCTCCAGTCCAGCACCCTTTGCTTCAGTCCAGCACCCTCCGTTCCAATACAGCACCCTTCGCTCCAGTCCAGCACCCTTTGCTCCAGTCCAGCACCCTTCCCTCCAGTCTAGCACCCTTTGCTCCAGTCCAGCACCCTTCGCTCCAATCCAGCACCCTTCGCTCCAGTCCAGCACCCTTTGCTCCAGTCCAGCACGCCTCGCTCAAGTCCAGCACCCTTTGCTCCAGTCCAGCGTCCTTCGCTCCAGTCCAGCGTCCTTCGCTCCAGTCCAGCACCCTTCGCTCCAGTTTAGCACCCTTCGCTTCAGTCCAGCACCCTTCCCTCCAGTCCAGCACCCTTCCCTCCAGTCCAGCACCCTTCCCTCCAGTCCAGCACCCTTCCCTCCAGTCCAGCACCCTTCACTCCAGTCCAGCACCCTTTGCTCCAGTCCAGCACTCTTTGCTCCAGTCCAGCACTCTTCGCTCCAGTCCAGCACCCTTCGCTCCAGTCCAGCACCCTTTGCTTCAGTCCAGCACCCTCCGTTCCAATCCAGCACCCTTCGCTCCAGTCCAGCACCCTTCCCTCCAGTCCAGCACCCTTCCCTCCAGTCCAGCGTCCTTCGCTCCAGTCCAGCACCCTTCGCTCCAATCCAGCACCCTTCGCTCCAGTCCAGCACACTTTGCTCCAGTCCAGCACGCCTCGCTCCAGTCCAGCACCCTTCGCTCCAGTCCAGCGTCCTTCGCTCCAGTCCAGCACCCTTCGCTTCAGTCCAGCACCCTTCGCTCCAGTTCAGCACCTTTCGCTTCAGTCCAGCACCCTTCCCTCCAGTCCAGCACCCTTCCCTCCAGTCCAGCACCCTTCCCTCCAGTCCAGCACCCTTCCCTCCAGTCCAGCACCCTTCCCTCCAGTCCAGCACCCTTCCCTCCAGTCCAGCACCCTTCCCTCCAGTCCAGCACCCTTCCCTCCAGTCCAGCACCCTTCCCTCCAGTCCAGCACCCTTCCCTCCAGTCCAGCACCCTTCCCTCCAGTCCAGCACCCTTCGCTCCAGTCCAGCACCCTTCCCTCCAGTCCAGCACCCTTCCCTCCAGTCCAGCACCCTTCACTCCAGTCCAGCACCCTTCCCTCCAGTCCAGCACCCTTCCCTCCAGTCCAGCACCCTTCCCTCCAGTCCAGCACCCTTCCCTCCAGTCCAGCACCCTTCCCTCCAGTCCAGCACCCTTCCCTCCAGTCCAGCACCCTTCACTCCAGTCCAGCACCCTTCCCTCCAGTCCAGCACCCTTCCCTCCAGTCCAGCACCCTTCCCTCCAGTCCAGCACCCTTTGCTCCAGTCCAGCACCCTTCCCTCCAGTCCAGCACCCTTCCCTCCAGTCCAGCACCCTTCACTCCAGTCCAGCACCCTTCGCTCAAGTCCAGCACCCTTCACTCCAGTCCAGCACCCTTCGCTCCAGTCCAGCACCCTTCGCTCCAGTCCAGCACCCTTTGCTCCAGTCCAGCACCCTTCACTCCAGTCCAGCACCCTTCGCTCCAGTCCAGCACCCTTTGCTCCAGTCCAGCACCCTTCACTCCAGTCCAGCACCCTTCGCTCCAGTCCAGCACCCTTTGCTCCAGTCCAGCACCCTTCGCTCCAGTCCAACATCCTTTGTTTCAGTCCAGCGCCCTCCGTTCCAGTCCAGTGCCCTTCGCTCCAATCCAGCACCCTTCGCTCCAGTCCAGCACCCTTCGCTCCAGTCCAGCACCCGTCGCTGCAGTCCAGCACCCTTGCTCCGGTCCAGTACCCTTGGCTTCTCACATCAATGCTCGCTTTAGGCTTTCTCTTAAACGTCCTAGTTTCCTTGATCACTCTATTTCCCATTAATGTGCCTGTCTAGACATTCTCTGTTCGTTCCTTGATCACTCTATTTCCCATTGGGGGGACTGCGTGGTCTCGGGGCTTGGTGTCCACCAAAAGTACTAGAGGTTCCGGGTTCAATCCCCGGTAGGGGCTGTGATTTTTTCACGTGAACTTGGACTTCTAGCAATTCCCCTTAAGTCTCTGGTTAGTGAGATCGGACGCCCGTGTGCATTGCTGCGCACGTAACAAAAAAAAAATCCCTTGGCATTTGGAAATTGAAAAGATTTGCCCAGGGACAATTTTGGAGTTAAAAATCTAACACAAAGTATTTCAGGATCCTTGCCGGTGCTACAGAGCCTGTGCACTGTGCTGAGATTCTTCAGACTCAGACTTGAGTTAGAAGTAGACCGGAGCACTTATCGGTTACTACCCTTATGCCATGATGTTGATCCGTTGTTCACACCTCAAACCTCATGTAGTTCAGCTAGTCAGCCAAGATTGTTGCCCGTTATGTGTCCACCGCCAATTTTGAAACATACGTTTTATAAGGGAGTCGTCGTAGCGTTGGCGCGCCTGTGGATCTGAATGTCGTGGGTTCGCCTCCTGACGAAGCCAGACTTTTTTCAAAAATGATCTTGACTCCCAGCTCGACCCAGCCTTGAGTGAGTACCAAGTGCAGTAAAGGCGGCCGGCGTGATCCTGACTACATCATCCAAAAAGTGTCGATTGGTCTATAAAAATATAGGTCTAGCCCTATATGCCCTATACGCATAAAGGCGTGGAAAAGGGACCTGTACTAGCTGTGACGAACATTGTTTCTTGCAAGACTGAGAAAGCCCAAACTGTGAATGAAACCATTTTCGAAGAAGTAACGGCTGGTATGATCATCAAAACAAAATTTTATAGCAGCGACTGAGATTTTGCTTTTGCCTTGATTGTCTATCACCAGCTGCCATTATTTTAGTTTCATGTTGGCCTTGGTGAACTAACTATTAAACTAGAAAATGTCGTTGAAAAGATGTGGAGAACATAGAGTAGGCTGCATACGATAACAATGGATAAGACTTCATAGCGTGAGTTAGTTGAGGGCGTATGTTTCGGAAGGGGAGGGGGTGGGGGAGAGTAAAGAGCCGATGAAAGAAGAAGCAGAGTCTGTAGCTATACGTATTCAGTGATGGTCTTCTTCTTCGCGTTCAAGGGTTGTAAACTTCGGCGTAAACGTTCTGGTTGTTGCTCCATCTCTGGACTGTAGTCTTGTTTCAGAGCCTGAGTGTTGCGTGCACATATGTTCTAAATATCTGCAATATTTGTATGCAGATTGTTGGTCCCTTGCCTCTCAGGCAGATACACTCTGTCTTTGCAGGAAGTCCCCAATTAGTCGACTCTTACGACATACTTGTTAGGGAGACAGCGGCTCCACAACGGTGCCCAAGAACACACATGGGGAGTAATCGGTAGTGAAATGGGTCCTATTCTCGTTTGCCGGCCCATCTACACACTGGCTGATCTTTCATTCATGCTTTCTCATGCTGTTCTACGTCAGAGGGTGTCATGCTGTCTTGCTTCCAATTACATCAGAGCCGATGTCGCGTATTCTATACTACACGACGACACAGCTTTTAACGACCCCAGAACATCTAGAACTGGCCCCAACATAAACCCCCCCCCCCCCCCTACCCACAGCCTGAGCCTAGGTCTCACGAAAAACTCATTTCGAAGAAAACAGTACAACGTGACAACGCCTCTGGCCTAGACCAGACTGAGAAAGTTTGTTGATAAATATGACTCAATATTTAAAGCGCCTACAACTCCCATTTCCGCTTTAGGACCACACTGTAGGCAGAGCAAATTTCAGATTTCATTTTAATGGCGCAACTAATTAATTACTGGACAAGCGCAATAAATAAAGACTGGGCGAGGGAGTGGGTGGGGTGGGGAGGATAGCTTAAACAATTCGGCAACAAATAATATAAACGAAGGCCAAGCTCAATTATATCGTCTCACGCCCCCCCCCCCCCCCTTTTTTTTTTTTCTCCCACTTTCCTGAGAGCTTCCGAGACACACACTCTCTCTCTCTAAAACACACCATCGTCTTTGTGTGTGCGTGTCTGTGTCTCTCTCTATCTCTCTCTCGTGTGTGTGTGTGTTACAAACACACCCCTCTGTTTTCCTATTCCTTCTCTTTCTATATTTCTATCCCTCTCGCTCCATCTCTCTCTCTCTCTCTCTATATATATATATATATATATATATATATATATATATATATATATATATATATATAGAGAGAGAGAGAGAGAGAGACATGTGTGCGTGTATATGTATATATGTATGTATATATATATATATATATATATATATATATATATATATATATATATATATATATATATATATACAGACACACATGTATCTCTCTCTCTCTATATATATATATATATATATATATATATATATATATATATATATATATATATATATATATATATACTCTCTCTCTCTTTATATATATATATATATATATATATATATATCATTATTAATAAAGTCCTTTACAGGACGGCACGCCTGAAAGTATCCCTTTCCCTAGCCAGCTCTCCAGCCCTATGTGCTTTCAATGCCGATGCATCTTCAATGTCCTGTGTCTTATATATATATATATATCAATGTTTGTGTGTTTGTTTGCCCCCTATAGACTCGGAAACTACTGAACCGATTTAGCTGAAATTTTCAGGATATGTTTGTTTTGAAACCAGATGTTGAACCATCATGGTTTGAAATTCAACCTGTCACTGTTAGAGATAGGTGACCACAATATTCGAAACTAATATTTATAATTTTAGTGATTTCTAATTATAGCCACGTTACGTGCGATCGATTTACCGGGCATGCACAGAAGTGACGATCTATCGTCAACATCCCCCCCCCCCCCCAAAATTACAAGGAAAACGGCTATCGACATACACTTTTGGTTGGCTTTCTTCTGTTATTGTTATTCAAAAGAATTATATAAATTTACACGACATTCCGTCTCAGGTCAGTGTTAGATTCTAAAAATATCTAAACAGGTGAGCGCATTTATTTAAGTAACATTAGTCAGTATGTGCATGTTTTTTGTTTACTTTAAATAACAAGTGTGGACCACTTCTTAAATCCCGCAATGATAAATGTATACACATTATCATTAACCATTATCATTATCATCTTTCTCATACTCATTAGTACAAGTAGTACAACATTTTTGGTTGGCTTTCTTCTGTTATTCAAAAGAATTATATATATTTACACGACATTCCGTCTCAGGTCAGTGTTAGAATCTAAAAATATAACATCAGTCATTATCTTATGCATTATGTACATGTTTTTGTTAACTTCAAACAAATGAGGACCACTTCTTAAATCCAGCAATGATAAATGTATACACATTGGTCCATCAGTCATTATGTACATTTTTAAAACTTCAAATACATGTGTGGACCTCTCCTTAAATCTCACAATGATAAATGTGTGCACATTATCTGTTGGCTTTTTCATATTGTCTTATATACCGTCTTTTCTTAATATTCACTGTCCAGTTTATATGCATTTCCTCTTGAGTCAAAATAGATTGTTATCTCATGCTCATATTTTCATTCATTTCAGCGATACTTCAAGTCACATTTCATTCAGTGCGTGAGGACGAACAAGCTACTGATGATCAGCGCTCACAAAATTTGTAGTTATGCCTCCCAAACGACAAGCGATTGGCCCATCTACACCTAAAACACGCAAGAGAAGGGCATTAATTGCTTCAGAAACAGACAAGCAGCGTGAGGTAAGACTGGAAACCGTTCGAGTGCGCACTGCTGAAGCCAGATCGTCTCACTCAGACGAGCAATGAGAAGCAAGATTGGAAACCAATAGTACGCACTGCTCAAGTCCGTTTATCAGAAACAGTCGAGCAACGGAAACCGTTAGGTTGCGCACTACTTTATCCAGGCGAACACTGCATGTTAAATTTAATCTTGGTGCATTCCATTACAACAGCAATTATGATTACAGTCTTCATCTGCAGGTGCTAATTGGCAAAATGGAAAAAGTGTGCATATATTGCAGTGCCTTCAAATTTAAGAATGACATGCCGGGTATGTGCTGCGCTGGTGGAAAAGTTAAATTGCCAGTATTACATTCACCAACCGAACCATTATCATCATTGGTAGCAGGTGACACAGGCCAGTCGACACATTTCTTGGCAAACATAAGTACATTTGCAAATATGTCAACAAAGGAGGCGATATGACAGTCTTTGGAGTGGGACATTCAGATATTGATGAAATCAAGCAATATCAGCTGGGGCGCTACATTAGTAGCAATAAAGCTGTATGGCGCATTTTGTCATTTCCAATTCATGAATGATATCTAGCAGTTGTTCATCTGGCAGTGCACCTTGACAATGGACAGCGCGTGTACTTCACTACAGAAAATGCACATGTATGAGCATTGTTACCACCGCCAACCACGTTAACTGATTTTTCTCATTGTGTAGAGATATGTTTGCAAAGACGATGCTTTACTCTGACCTGCCAACATACTACACGTGGAATGCATCAGCTAAAAAGTTTCAACGTTGCAAGCAAGGTCAAGCGGTTGACGGACATCTTAATTTATATTCTACTGATATTTTAGGCCGTCTGTACACTGTTCATCCCAAAAATGCAGATTGCTTTTACTTGCGATTACTTTTAATCAACAAATGGGGACCGACATCCTTCCAGGACTTGAGAACAGTTTATAGTAAAGTATGTGCTACTTACCGTGAAGGTTGCCAAGAATTAAATCTTCTTGAAAATGATGCACATTGGGACACTTCACTCGCTGATGCTTCGAATACTGCTCGACCACAGCAAATACGCACATTATTTGCAATAATATTAACAACCTGCTTTCCATTCAATTCAAAAGAGCTTTGGGAAAAAAATAATATTGCACTGGCAATCACATCTTCTGGATTTGCTGCAACTCTTTTGGATGGTGGTCGAACAGCGCATTCAGCACTGAAGTTGTCTTTAAATATGCATATCACTGAGACACCGACATGCAATATCAACAGTGATTCTGCAATGGGTAAAGTACGCAAAGTATGTCAACTCATTATATGGGACTAAGTTTTCCCTAATATCACACATAATTACATAAATCATCAGTGGCTCAGTGAAGGTGCTATCTTAGCATCTAAAAACAAGGATGTGTATGCCATGAATCCGAACATCCAAGACAAATTACCAGGCAGAGTGACAATGTATAAGTCTATCGATACTGTAATGATTCAAGACGAGGTTGTCAATTATCCAACTGAGTTCTTTAATTCGCTTGATTTGCCAGGCATGCCACCCCATGTTTTAACCTTGAAAGTTGGCGTGCCTGTTATTCTTCACAGAAACATCAATCCGCCACATCTTTGCAGTGGTATCAGGCTTTCAGTGAAAAAGATGGTGCCCAATATCATCGTAAGTACAATTTTACATGATCATTTAAGGGCCAGGATATACTATTGCAACGCAATTCCAACAGACATGCCATTCAAATTCAGATCCTTGCAGTTTCCGGTGCAATGACCATCTACAAATCACAGGGACAATCAGAACAAGTGTGTGGACTACATTTGGAACATCCATGCTTTTCACATGGACAGCCATATGTGGCCTGTTCAAGCGTCGGAAAACCTACTGATTTATTCGTGTACGCACCAGGCGGAAAAACTAAGAACAATTACATTTTAAATTGCCTGTTTTTTTCCTAAGGATTTGTAAACAGCACAATGATCCAAAAAAATACTACATATTCTTATATCGACTTTCCTTTCAATTGAATTTCTATTAGAGGCGTAGCAACGCGCGCTTTGTACAGTTTACCATATATATATATAATTATTAATCAAGTTCTTTACAGGACGGCACGCCTGAAAGTATCCCTTTCCCTAGCCAGCTTTCTAGCCCTATGTGCTTTCAATGCCGATGCATCTTCAATGTCCTGTATATATATATATATATATATATATATATATATATATATATATATATATATATATATATATATATATATATACTACTGCTGCTGCGGCTGCTGTTATTATTACTACTGCTACATCTACTGTGGTTTCTGCTACATCTAATGTGGTTGCTGCTACATCTACTGTGGTTGCTGCTACATCTACTGCGGTTGCTGCTACATCTACTGTGGTTGCTGCTACATCTACTGCGGTTGCTGCTACTTCTGCTACTACATATGCTAATACTACTAAGTGTGCTGCTGCTACTACTACTACAACTACTGTTGTTGCTACTTTTATTACTACTTCCGCTAATTCTGCGGCTGCTGCTACTACTACTACTACTACTACTACTACTACTACTACTGCTGCTACTTTTATTACTACTACTACTACTACTACTACTACTACTAATACTACTACTACTACTACTACTAATTATACTACAAGTGAGAGCTAGTAATTTGCTAAAATTATGCTCCCAAAAACAACAGTTACAGTCTCGACAACTCACCTGCAAGCACCACTGTTCCTGGGTAAAGTCATACTCGAAATCACACACAGGCCCGTTGCACCACGCTCCCGTAGAATCACACCAACAGCTGCGGCACCTTTCCCTCCATGTTGCACCCAGCCTGTAGGTTTGTTCCGTCTCTAGAGAGTTGAAGGAATCCAGATTCTGCGCATAGTTCCCCTGTTGTAGCATTTGATTAATGTTTCACAATTAATAACTGATTAAAATTAACTATGGGAGTCGCCGTGGCGGAGCGGCTGTACGCTCGTGTGCGGATCGGGAGGTCATGTGTTCGCTTCCTAGCGGAGCCTGTAATTTTTTTTTTTTTTTTTAGAATGACCTTGACTTCCAGGTCAACCCAGTCTTGAGTGGGTAGCTGGTGCAGTCCCGGGAAGTAAAGGCGGTCGGTTTGATGCTGACCACATCACCTATCTTGTGCCTATTGGTCTATAAAAATTTAGGTCTCGCCCCACATCCCCTATACGCCTAAGGAGTGGCAAAGGGAGCTTTACTATTTTTTCTTTACTGTAAAATAATATGATACAATATTATCTCATAAAAGCGTGTTCACTGTTCATTTGTCATTTGCAGATGATCTACTGCACGTCAGCAATGCCGATTTTAGTCTTGATGATGCCCTAAGATATATATAAAGCTCTGAGGCCCAAACGTTCTAAATTACTCCAGGTAATCTCAGAAAACGTTCAACATATTTATACGCCTTTTAAATATATGGAGGTTCTTTTATGTTATTTCACCACATCACACCGGCATCGAGATTTCGTAGGGAAATTCCCAGACCGTCCTACGGTATAGGGAAGGTTAGGGTTTGCGCTAGTGTTAAATGAAAAGCAACAACTACAAAGCCTAACCCTAACTACCCTATATTATGGGACGGTCTGGGGATTTCGCTACCAAATATTCAGGTCCCATGATGTCGTGAAATAACAGAAGAGAACCTATTTTTCCAAAACGTTGGGGTTGGGGGTTATGAACATATATTACAAGAAAATTGTAAAATATTTGAAAGAAAATTGCTTTTGTGGAAGAAAGTGTTTTATTTTTTATTTTTAGACCTTAGAAGATTGCGAGGCCCAAAGCTGTGGCTTACTTAGCTTAATCCGGAACTGTACGTCGGGCATTCTCCTCCTTGCTTTATTAGTCAAATATAACTGATATGGGAAAGACGGGGGATTGGAAGGGCCGAATGTGAGACGGGCCTGGGTGCCCAATTTGTGACCCTTTGAGAATAAAGATCGTTCTTTCATTCCTTAAAGTCCCTTCCGAAAGTCATGACCATCTTTAAAAATCTTCAACTCAATAACCTTTCTTGATGAAAGTTGATGAAATTTGGCATGTCGCCTGTTAATACATGTAATCACGGCTTTGTCTTCTTCTTTTTCGTGTTCACCAGCTGTAAACTCTGGCGGAAAGCTCTGGTTGTTCGTCCACTTCTGGACTGCAGTCCTGTTCCAGAACCTGAGCGTTGCGTGTGCATCCGTTTTACTGATCTGACTTATTTGTATGCAGACTGCTGGTTCCTTGCCTCTCATACAGATGCATTCCGACTTTGAAGAAAGCTCCCAATTAGTCGACTCTTACGACATGCTTTTAGGTAGGCAGTGGGTCTATTCTTGTTTTCCCTCTAATAGGGCCCCTGGAACCCACACGGTAATTTAAACAAACATCTAGTTTTCATGTTGCCCTATTGGCAGTCCATTTTTTTTTTTTTTTTACGTATCCAGAAACCATGAGTTGTAAACCCTTTGGCTCGGTACTATGGATATCGCAACCCTTCGGCCTTGATTCCATTATAGGTACCGTTAATCTGGGAGAAATGTGGCTTTTCTGCCTACCCCCGGGAGTGAACCCGGACCACAAGGAGTTCGTCACCCGGCCGCCGCGAAAGTCAGGTTTAACTAACTTCGCTAGAGAGCCGGGCTATTGGCAGTCCATAAAAAGTGACAGAAGTCATTTACGTATTTTTATAAAAAGTCTAAACTATGCAAGAAAAGGTGCCAGGACAGTGTCGATACACAGAGCGGCTTTTTCAGGCGGCATCGTATGGGGGCGGAATTAGCAGCGAAATCAAAATACATTTTTTTTTTAAACATTTAGGAGTCGGCATTTTTAAAAGACTGCGTGGATTTGTATCATGGTATGGGGCGTCGCAGGTCGACCCAGCCTAAAAATGGGTACTAGGATGTATGTCTTGGGGAAGTAAAGACGGCCGGCGTAATGCTGACCACATTACCCACCTACTGCGAATTGCTCTGTAAAAATATGGGGTGCTTTTCCCATATGCCTGATGCGCCCAAGACGAGAAAAGGGATCTTCACTTTTATTTCGAAGACGTGCATCAAACTGAACAAAATCTACCACACTGGTAGCAGCCGTGGTGTAGCGGCTAGGTGATCGCCTGCGGATCTGAAGGTAGTGGGTTCAGGTTCTTCCAGTCGTAAATGGGTACAGGGTACAGTCCTGTGAAGTGAAGGCGGCCGGCGTGATGTTCACCACATCTCCAAAGAAATTAAGGGGGTCCTAGCCTTCTTATAAACTGTAAAGGGTGTGAGGGAAACGTGTGTGTGTGCGATCAGGGAAGGGGGAGCTCAAATCAAGAGGCCTTAGAATTAGGTGCACAATAATGATGATAATGCTCGCCTGCGGATCGGAAGGTCGTGGGTTCGCGTCCTGACGTAGCCGGACCTTTTTTTTTCCCCAGAAATGACTGACTTCCAGGTCGACCCAGCCTTGAGTGGGTACCAGGTGCAGTCTTGGGAAGTAAAGGCGGCCGGTGTGAGGCTGACCACATCACCCACCAAGTGCTGATTGGTGAATAAAAATATAGGTCTAGCCTTTTATGCCCAATATGCCTAAAGGCGTGGAAAAGGGTCCTTTACCCTACATTTTAATAATGATGATAAAATGAAAAAATATAATTACAACAATTTTATTATTATTATTATCATTATTATTTTTTTATTACTACTACTATTATTACTACTACTGTTAGGCTATCCTCCGAATAACGGGCACAAAAGATGGCGGCCAATCGCGACCAAAAACAGGGCCTCAGTTACGTATCAATTGCGCACTTCCGGCGACCTATTTTGCGGTTTTCCGTGGATTGGGGCTAAACTGGATGGCTTGGACCCATGAGCAAAGCTGCAGGAGATGCGGAAGCTGCTGCTCGTGAGTCCAGCCATCTAGTTTAGCCCGCGTGAGCGGCGTGGGGGATACCCTCAGCGGTGGCGGTAGTCGCCGGAAAACCGCAAATTAAGTCGCCGGAAGTGCGCAATTGACACGTAACTGAGGCTCTGTTAGGGTTTTTTTGCGGTCGCTATCTTTTGTGCCCGTTATTCGGAGGATAGCCTTGCTATTATGTGTTGAATGACCAGTAAAATATATATGAAATGATATATTCTTCTTCACGTTCACCTGCTTTAAACTCTTTAAAGTTGTGGTGTTCGTCCACTTCTGGCCTCTAGTCCTGTTCTAGAAACTGATTGTTGCATGCACATCCGTTTGAGAGGTTTGATTCATCTACATGCAGACTACTGGTTTCTTGCCTTTCAGGCAGGTGTACTCTGACTCGACTTTGAAGAAAGCCCCCATTCAGTCGACTCTGACGTCATGCTTTTGGGCAGGTAGTGGGCCTGTTCTTGTTTTCCACGGAACCCACACGGGGATGAAATGATATGAACAGTATAAACATTTTTCTGAAAAGAGGAACATCTTTTAATGCTTGCTGAGAAAGGGAGGAAAACAGAAAATTGGGGTGCGGGGGGAGGGGGGGGGCCTCATCTTTTCGCTCAACTCACTGATAAAGAGGTCAGCACCCCCTTTCCAGCCCACACAAAGAAGGCGGAAGGCTAGAGTTGCCTCCCTCTCCCTCTTCAAGATGCCCTAACTGTTTAGTTTTCGCCATGAACACTCACCTCTACGTGGCAATATCCATTCCTGTATACACCAGTTCTCGTCCTTGTGGGCTCTGAATGGGTTGGCTGAACACAGACAAGGGTCGCAATGAGGGAAACCAGTCCCCGGTGGATTCTTTGCATGGCTTGTTTGAAATAAACAAAACAATCTACGCATTTACTAATACTGAGCTAAAGAAATCGACGTCACTGACAAAAACGAAGAGATCGGACCTGTAATAGCCCTTGCTTAAGTTCTAGTGGTACTGCAAGCTAAATGGGCAAACAGGAATATGACATCAAGTCAGCTGATAATCTTGAGGGGAAAAGGGTAGAAGAAAACGTGACTAGCTGAGAGAGTGAGAGAAGATCGTGATTTGTAAGAGGTCGGACAGGTCTCGCGGATCCCGGTGACCACGCAGTTCATGAACAGAAGAATCCGCGGCCCCATTGTTGGGAAAATAAGAATTTAACCAGTGTCTCCCGCAAAAAAGCATGTCGTAAGAGTCAACTAATTGGGGTTTTCTTCGAAGTCGGAGTGTATCCGCCTGAGAGGCAAGAAACTAATAGACTGCATACACATTAGACATCTGTAAAATGGATGTGCACGCAAAACCCAGGTTCTGGAATAAGTTTATCAATCAGAACTTTCCGCCGGAAACTACAGCAGGTGAAAGCGAAACAGAAGAAAAAGAATAAGAGGTCGTGTGAATGCTCACACAACCCACCCACGCTAGGGGCTACAGGTGACTTTATAGTGATTTTGTCAAAGTAAAGGACCCTTTCCACACCTTTAGGTGTACTGGGTATATAAGGCTAGACCTATATTTTATAGACTAAATGGCACTTGGTAGGTGATGTGGTCAGCATTAGGCCGGTCGCCTTTACTTCCCAGGATGTATTTAGTACCCACTCAAGACTGGGTCGACCTGAGAGCCAAGGTCATTTTTTTTAAGTCCGGCCCCTGCCAGGACTCGAACTCCCGACCTTCCAATTAGCAGGCGAGCGTCAACACTGCATGAGTCCTTTTCAGGGCTGCTCGGTGGAGTGCAATACTAAGCCATTTGATATGGCACACTTAAGCCCTGTCACACTTATAACCTAAAGCTCCCCCTTCAGGGATACAGGTTGAAAGTGAAGATTTTGTTTCTTCTCTCAAAAACTGACGATGATCTTCTTCTTTTGTTCGCCTGAAATAAGTTGTCCATATCAGCAGTTTTGTCTCTTGTATAAATTTCACTGTCGTTGTTAGTTCATTCAGTG